CCCTGGGCACACTGCTGGCTCCTGTTCAGCCGGCTGTCAATCCCCCCCCAGGTCCCTCTCTGACTGGCAGCTCTCCAGCCACTCCTCCCCAAGCCTGTAGCCCTGCTGGGGGTTGTTGTGGCCCAAGGGCAGCCCCCGGCATTTGCCCTCAGTGAAACTCCCCCAGTTGGGCTCAGCCCATGGCTCCAGCCTGTCCAGGTCTCTCTGCAGAGCCTCCCTGCCCTCGAGCAGATCAACACTCCCACCCAGCTGGGTGTCATCTGCAAACTGACTGAGGGTGCCCTCGATCCCCTTGTCCAGATCATCAATAAAGATGTTAAACAGGAGTGGCCCCAACACCCAGCCCTGGGGGACACCACTCCTGACCGGCCGTGAGCCTGATTTAACTCCATTCACCACAACTCTTTGGGCCTGGCCCAAATATTCTTCCTGTCTTTGTCATCTAGTAAATAAACCTGGGAAAAGAAGCTGTCAGTATGAGCACTACAGATGCCGGCATCTGGCTCTTTGGCAAACCCTGCTTTCCAGGTACTGTTTTCCCAAATGAGATAGTAAAAGCTTCCCCTTATCAGCTCTCTTAATCCCTCAGACCTCACATATACTCTGAGACTCTTCCTGTGAGTCTTTTCCTTGATAATTATTTCAGTCAGGTTAACTGCGATGTATGATCAGTAGTGTTTTATACATAGCTAGTGTTTGAGATGTAGAATTTATTTTGAAATTCAAACTCCTTCTTAGCTGAAATATGGGAGGGTTACCACTGGGCTGGTCAATAAATGTTCATATGGAGCAGCATGGATGTTCCTTACAGACTGGTTGATGATGCCAAAGCCAGAGAACTGTTGGGTGTAAACTGTCAAACATTGCTTGAGAATGTGCTTTTTCCACACTAGCAAGAGATGTAGCTTGTTTCTAACTCCTGGTAAGTTATGCTGTGAGACTGAGAGACAGCTGCACTCTGTGGCATGCCCCTAAGACTTGCTTTAGCCATTTGGCCAGATCCAGAATCTTTGGAGCATCACTTTGTGGCATCTGTTCTGCTGGGCACAGCAGCTGGGGCACTGTAGCATGGAGTGCACCTATGTCTCTCCCATCAGGGAGCTGGGATTTAGACACAATGTGAGATTTGTCCCACCGTGTGAGTGCAGCCTATTTATAGAATAGGCAGCAAAATTAATCTGGAGATGGTGGTCTGGATTTGTTAGTACCCTAACCACAGACTGTAGGATTTGGGAGATTCTATCATAGAGACTTTTTATTGCAGTTTAGTTTTGGGTTTTCTTAGTCAATCAGTAGAAATATTTCTAAGATTGACATGCAAGAGTACAATTTAAATCTGGAGTTGCTTCCTGTAGACAAATCACTGGAAAGTTATACTTGGGGGTATTGCATCAAGGTTTTAGCCTGCAGACACTGTGTGACTGCCACAGGCAAAAATACATTGCATAGTCCTTGACTAGCAGTTAGGGTATTTTAGAATTGCAGTGATTTGGCAGGCAACCAGTAAGAGCTTGTTTTAAAATGCCTGTGGTAAATGCATTTACAAAGGGGTCAATTTGAGGGATGCATGATCCGAGCATAGGTTAAGGAGTCAGGAGCAGCTGAATTCTAATTCTGATCTTCTCTCAGGTTTCCTTGTGCCTGCATGTGCAACACCACAGAGGTTAAGTGAATGTTTCTAAGGCTGCAAAGTGGAGCATGCAGAATTAGGAAATGCCCATGCTGGGTTAATCCAGTCCCCCTTGGACTATGTTTCATGGCTCTCTAAGACGCTTGGTTACTCTCCTCTGTATGTTTTTTCCCATTCAATTCCTGTCTCGTTCTGTCTCCTAGACAGATACCTGTCACTTAGGAAATGGCTATTTATTATTTTTCCCCTCCTGTGTTTCAGTATGGACTTTATTTCTTGCACAATCAAACTTATTTCCAATTGCAGCAATATTAATCATTCACGGGCCTTGGTAGTTCCAGCACCAAGTACTTCAGGGCAGTAATAGAGTTCAGCTAAGGCAAACTGATAGGTTTGTATGGTCTGCTGATCTTTCCCACCACCCTATTTCATCTTCTATAAAGCTGACAGATCACTTTGGCTAGCATTCATGCTAACCATCTCTCTGTGTCTGATCGGTTTTTTAGGGATTAGGGTAGATGTTGCTCTTGAGACATGATATTTCAAAAGAAGAGAAGAAATGTCTCAGCCCCTGCAGCCTCGCTGGCACTTAGAGCAGACGTTGGAGAGCTGTTTGCCAGCAGGGTGCATGAATGTCCCCATCCAGCATAATGTGGAGCTGCTGACAGCCTCCTCTTCTCCAGACTGAACCCCCCCAGTTGCCCCAGGTCCGTTGCCCTTCTCTGGCCACGCTCGAGTCATTCAATGGCCTTTTTGGGGTGAGGGGTCCAAAACTGAACCCAGGAATCGAGGGGCGGCCTCCCCAGTGCCGAGCCCAGGGCTCAGATCCCTCCCCTGTCCCTGCTGGCCACGCCAGGGCTGGTACAAGCCAGGATGCTGTTGCCCTCCTTGGTCTCCTTGGCCACTGGCCATACAAATCTCTCCTGGACCAAACACACATGTGTTCTCTGAACAATGGAGCCACTGGAGTGTAAGATCAGTGGCCAAGCCAAGAGGAGCAGGGTAGATTTTTGCCGAGAGCTTGTTTGCCGTTTCCCCCGAGTTTTTTAGCTCATCCCCAGCAGCAGCCTCGTGCATCCCACCTCATGCTCCGAGGCCGGTGTCCACAGGATCTCCGGGAGGGAATCTCCTGGCTGGGCCTGGATCACGTCCACCAGCATCTGCTTGGTGCTAGAGAGCAGAGGGGGAGGTCAGGCATCCGCTCCAGACCATCACACCCCCCTCCTCCAGAACAGCATGTTATTTAGTTGGCTTCTAAGTCTTTCTTGCCCGCCTCGAGCATCCCAGCTGGCGTCCCAACCCCCCATGAAGCCCACAGAGCCCATCCTCACCTCAGCAGCAAGCTCCTGGTGTCATTCTCCTCACTGCTGGCTGCCAGCACCAGCTTGCTGGTGAGGGTGAGGGAAATCTCCATTTTGCTGAGCTGGGAGAGCGCCTGCTCAGTGCTGCAGTCCACCAGGCTGGAAATGCTCTCCCCTGCAAGGTCAGAGAGAGCCCGAGTAGCCACGTTGTGCTCAGGAGGGCTGGATTCCCCATGCCCAAAGCAATCCAGCTATTACTTCATGCAAGAAAAGCATCCCTGTAGCCACCCTCCTGCTGCAGGGATGGGTGGTGGGCCCCAGAACTCTACCCACCAACAAGGGACTGGACCGTAGGAAGCTCATCAAGATCTTCCAGAAGCTCGTGCAGGGGGTCTCCGTGGCACGGCGCGATGGAGTCCTGGTGCTCGAGCAGGAGCTGGATGGCACAAGGGAGGAAAGTCAGGGGCGTGCAAAGAAACAGGGAGCAAAGGCTGGTCAGGATCGATGCCCTTCGCACTAGAGGGGACTGCAAGGTTGTGAGGCTCAGGGAAGAACAAGCAGCAGAGAACATGCAGAATCTGGATAATTTCGTTACTTAAAAAAGGGAAAAAAAGACCAGGAACAGCTGTGCTAGTGGTGGGATACAGGAACGTGATGAACCATGGTAGAAAGCCCAGAAGGGAGCAGAAGTGGGGGCCACTGGTTTGCGGATGAGTTTTATGTCCTTACCTTGTGCGTGTTGATGAGCTCCCCCACGCTGATGTAGATGACTGGTTTGGCCACAGCCACCATCTCCGAGTACTCGTCCACGTTAAACCTCTCTTCTGGCTCAGGGACGCAGCAGGCAGCAGAGATGAACCTCCTGCAGAGAAGGATCTTATTTGATCAGCTCCAAATAAAAAAAAAAAAAACAAGCCCTTCCACCAGCTCGTAGCCGCCCTCCCAGCCCGAGGTCATCGTGGCGCCCACCTGAACTTGTGGTGGGTGTCCTCCAGGTACTGGTTCACCCCGCAGAGATGCGCGTTCTCCCCGTCAAAGGCCTTGCGGGCGGCTGCGTGCTGCAGCACCTTGGCAACGGAGCCCAGGTTGCGGCGGTGGTCGGGAGGCACCGTCACCCCGGCAGAGATGTCCACGATGTCGAAGCCGTCGGGGGCCACCACGGCCGGGTTCATGAAGCGGTAGTAGAGCAGGTTCCCTACGATCTAGGGCACAAGACGGGCTGGGTGTTGGGGAGCACACGGGCTGGTGCCCACAGAGGTGGGTGTTTCACCCTCGCGCTGCCTGGTGGGACCCTCCCGGAGGGGATGGAAGCACAGAGAAGAGCCCACCATTGGCATTCCCTTAGTGGCTCAACAAAAATCTTCACTTGAAGGCACTTTTAAGTCAAGACTTGATCTTCTGCAGAGGGATACGGGCCCTTCACACACACACACACACACACACACACACTTGAACCCAAAAAAGCCACGCAGACCTTCCCAACCCCGGGGTACCTTGTCGATCTCCTCCACCGAGGCCGTGGGGAATTTCTCAGCCAACGATGTCCTCAGGATTTTGGCCACGTAGCGCATCCCGTAGCTGAGGAGAGGGCAGGGAGAGGTTTGTCAGCACATGAGGCAGCACCAGGCTTGGCCACGCTGCCCCATCCCTACCATCCATCCCCCAAGCAGCAGCAAGCCCTGGGGTGATGGAGGAGCCCACAGGAGAGACTGGCCGCTGCCACATCCCTCAGCTCCTCCCCTACCCTGCTGCCTGCCCGGACACCCCTGGAGGAAGCCTTTATCCTCTGAGATTACTACAAAATCTCAGCTTCTTCCTTGCAGACACCTCAACACCAGTAAAGGGCTCAGAAATGGGGCAGCAAGACAACGCAGCCTACCAGGGTATAGCTAGAGGAGCAGAAGCAGCAACGCCCGCTAATATTTAAGATTTCTCCTTGTGGATGGTGCAGTGAGTCCTGCAGCAGCCAACAGACGGGGAAGTCCCCTGTCACCCAGCCTCCTTTCTAAGGCCTCGCTGAAGCTACCTTCAAGCCGAGAGTGCTGCAGGGGTGCACGTACAAACCCTCGAGATACATACGGGATCTTGTCTACAGAAGAGGTGATGGCAGAGACGAACTTGTCTGTCACCATGAGGAGGTTGCGGATAGAAATATCCAGCCGCCGTTGGACCTCGGGGTGGCTGAGAGCCTGCTCGGGGCTGACCTCGTATGGGAGCTTGCTGTGAATGGAAGACAAGGTGATAGAATCCCAGAATCCTTCAGGTTGGAAAAGCCCCTCGGGATCAGCGAGTCCAACCCTCAGCCCGACTCTACAAAGCTCTCCCCTACCTCACATCCCCCACAGCTCATCCCAACGGCCCTTAAACCCCCCAGGGATGGGGACTCCCCCCTCCCTGGGCAGCCTGTTCCACTCTCGGACCACTCGTGCTGGGAAACATTTTCTCCTCCTGCCCAGCCTGACCCTCCCCTGGGGCAGTTTCCAGCCGTTCCCTCTTGTCCTGTCCCTGATCCCCTGGGAGCAGAGCCCAGCCCCAGCCTCTCTGCAATGTCCTGTCAGGAGCTGCAGAGAGGGATGAGGGCTCCCCTCAGCCTCCTCCTCCTCACACTCAACACTCCCAGCTCCTTCCCTGGCTCCTCACAGGATTTATTCTCCAGGCCCTTCCCCAGCCTCGTTGCCCTCCTCTGCCCTCGCTCCAGCCCCTCGAGATCTCTCTATATTGAGGTGCCCAAACCTGGACACAACCCTCCAGGTGTGGCCTCACCAGTGCAGAGCACAGGGGACTGTCACCTCCCTGCTCCTGCTGCTCACACTATTGCTGATACACGCCAGGATGCCGTTGGCTTTCTTGGCCACCCGGGCACACTGCTGGCTCCTGTTCAGCTCCTGGTCACTGAGAACCCCCAGACCCTTCTCTCCCCCAGACAGCTCCAGCCACACTCCCCAAGCCTGTAGTCATGCAGGGGGTTGTTGTGGCCCAAGGGCAGGACCTGGCACTTACCCTTTTGAAGCCCATCCCATTGACATTGCCTACCGATCCAATCTAGCCAAATCTCTCTGTAGAGCCTCCCTATTGTGCAGATGGACACTCCTGTTTCACTTGGTGTCACCTGTGAACTCACTGATGACGCACTCCGTGTCCTTATGGAGATCCTCAGTAAAGATGTTGGGACAGAAATGGTCCCTACACCGAGCCCTGAGGACACCACTCGTGACCGTCCGCCAGCTGTTCCCCATCACCATCCCAACACCCATCACCCTGCAGTCAGGCTAACTTCTTGGGCCTGACCTTTTCTGCCCACTCTGCGTCTCTGTCTGGTTGATCCACGCCTTGTAGATGTCCACGGGGTTGGTGCGGATGTTGAGGGTCTTGTCCTGCAGGACCTCCTGCACCGGGCCGCCCAGGATCTGCCGCAGAGCGTTCTGCCCGCGCGCGTTGCGGTAGAAGCTGACCACCATCCGGATCACTGTGGCGTTCCCCGTCAGGATGTCATGGACGTGGTCCACCTTGGACCTGGGGAGGGGCGCAGGAGGGATGCAGGGAAGAGGATGGACCCGTGTGCACGTTCTCCAGCGCAGGAGGCAGCAGCCAGAGGAGATGACCGCAGCCAAGCTGGTGCCCCTGGTCCAGCTTTTTCCCAGACCTGTCCCCAAACTGGGGCACCCACCTGATCTCCTCCTGCAGCGCTGCCTTGAAGAGCTGGAGCAGCAGGTAAGCTTCCCGCGGGTTGGACGCGTAGTTGTAAAGCGTAAAGATCACCGACTCCATGAACTTGGTGGACTTATTCTGGGGCATCTGGAAGATCAGCCTGGCCAAGTACACAGGCTGTGTCTGCAAGGACAAGGAACACCAAGCTAAGCCCAAGCATTGTGGGGTGGCAGGGGGCCCCGCACTGCTCCCCCAGGTGCAGCAGACACAGCAGAGCCCCGCCAGCCCCACCTGAAGCAGGTAGAAGAGATGCTGGTAGGCCTCCAGCTTCTGCCGCTTCTCCTTGCTGAGGGACTTGAGCCCCTTGTGTTTGTCTATGGACATCATCTCCGAGAGCTGCTCCTTGTTCTTCTTGGTCAGCTTCTTGCAGTGGGAAACCACCTCCTGCACCCGCGGGCGAGGAGAGAGAAGCGTTGGGAACTGCTGGCAAGCTCCAGCATTTGGCCCTGCTTCTGAGGAAAAGGAGCCAGAGGCACCTCAACGCTCCCCAACCCCTCCAACCTCTTTAGAAGCAAAGCAGGGAGAAGTTCAAGCTGGTTTGCCAAGGAGGGGAGGACCAGCCCTGCACTGCTGAACAGGCTCAGTCCTTCCCCGCCGCCGCGCTCCCCACCTGCAGCGTGATCCTGTTCTTGACCAGCAGCCCAATCTTGATGTCCATGAGGTCCAGGTCACTCTCCAGCTGCCGACTGGCACGGATCCTCTTCACCACCTCCTCCTGCAGCCGCAGCACCTCCGACTCCTCCCAGAAGTCGTGCTGGCTCTGCTCCAGCAAGTGGATGAAGCGCCGGACGATGCTCAGTGGCGGGCTCCTGGCGTGGACTGCAGCAAGGCAGGGGGTGCCACCACCAACACTCGTGGGGAAAACTGAGCTGCCACCCCCACCGTGGGCCCTCAGACCTCCACCATCTCACCAAGACACCCCATCCTCCTCCCTCAAAAAAGCCTCTTCCTTGCAACACCAGGAGAGGAAAGATGGTGCCGTGTTCTGCAACACCTCTCCAGGAAACCTTTGGGAGGGGCAGCAAAAGCAGCCCCAGGGCTGATGCCAAGGGGCCACCAAGCCACTGCCACTCTTGTGCTTGCCACAGGGACACCAGTGGCCAGCCTGCCACTGCTTCCCCACCACGGGAGGAGGCAGAGTCCCCTTCCCAATTAATTATAACCACTTCAGAGCAGAGATGAGCAGGCACTTACCCAGCATCCTGTAATCCCCACGGGCCTTGTTAGCTCGCACAAAAGCCTGGATTTTAATTACAGCTTTAATCTGCCAAGACAAACAAGAGGGTGGAGGATGTTTCCCCACAGCATCCCTGAAACATGTGGGGAGTGAAGGAGAGCCAGCTGGCTCCTCCCACCGCTGGGAAACTGCCGATGCCCGGGGTGAGGGTCTCCACAACCCAGGAGGGATTTCAGGATTTCACCCTCCTTAGGGGTCGTTTCCCCTCCCCTTGCTGCATTTCACACGCTGCCGCAACTCCAGAGGCAGAGCTTCACTTCCCACAGCCACCACACACCCCTTTCCCCCAAAATTCCCTTCCTCTCCGATGAGCATCTTGAAGTCCTCGCTGGTTTTTGGTAGAACTGGAGTGCTTCCTCTCTCCTCACACTTTACAGAGCCTGATAGTTTGGTTTCCAGACCCACCAGGCACCTTTTCCTTCCCCTCTGTCCCCACGCAAGGATAGGCCAACCTCTCCCTCAACAATCTCTAATGGGCAGAGATCCAACCCCACGCTCAGGATCATCCCCCTCCATCCCCACAGACGTGACACGCTCCCAGGAGCAGTTTTACTCGCCATCCCCTCACTCACGTTCTGCCTGAAGTAGCGCAGCCGCTCCTGGTACTTCCTCCGAGCCTGCCACATCCTCACGCCCGCCTGGATCTGCCAGAGACGTTCAAGCAGTTGGATGCTGGAAGGACTCGCTTGGCCAAAGCGAGCAGGTGAAAACCGTGGGGATTTTTGCAAGATATTCTCCCTCAACCTGAGCCCCTCCCATCCCCTCATGCCTGCCTCTTTGCTGGGCAAGGGGGAAACGCCCCGCTTGTTGCTGAGGAAGCGGGCGGCGATGCCCAGTGCGGGAGCAAAGGGTGAAGGAACCTTCCAAACCTTTACTGCAGCATCTGCGTTGGCTCGCAGGTAGCGCAGCCTCTCCAGGTAAGCTCTGCGCTGCTTGTACCCTCTCCAACAAGCCTGGGCAGGAAAAAAAAAAAAAGACAAATCAGCTACTGAGATGTGCGTGAGGTCGCTGTGACGTCCAGGTGGATTTCAGAGAGCACATGAGGAGAGGAGAGCGCAACGGGGAAAGAGGGAAGAGGAGAGGAGAGCGCAGCATGGAAAGAGAGGAGGAAACCAGCACCCAAAGCAGCTGCTGTGAGAAAAACAAGCCTCGCATCACCCTCGGCAGCACCTTGGGCGAGTCCTGGCTATTAAAGGCACGGAGCGGCAAGCCCCAGCGCTCGCCGGAGGACGCTGCGAGTGGCCGCCTGCGGTTTGCGCCCCCCAGCCCAGGGGTGGGACAGAGTCTGGTTACGTCACCTGGATCCTGAGGGCGGCCGGCTGCTGCTCCCACAGGATGCGCCGTCGTGCCGCGAAGTCCCGCCGGAGCAGGAAGCCCCGCAGCCGGGCCTGCAGCCTCACCACGAAGGCGACGTTGGAGGCCCACAGCTGCTCCCGGGCGTGCACCGCTGTCACTCGGGTGACGACGGACTGTGGGGACACGATGCAGCGGCTCAGCCCCGGCGATGCCGCCAGCGCCCGAAGGAAGGGCTCGGACAAAAAGATTTCTGACAATTATTACGACTAAACTGTGCTGTGATGTCTGGAAGCTTTGCTTGTGTTTTGCTTAATTTGTTTCTCAAGGACTCCTGACTCCTCAACTGTTTCCTTAGGTCTCTCTGTTTAGGTGAGATTAAAACGCCCATCAGGCTCCCCACAGAAATCACCGGGAGGGGACTCAAGACCTTCAGTGGACACTTGGGCAACTCCCAGAATGAGCTACAGGGAGTTTGAACAGAGACGCAGAGACCCTGTTACAGGGAGGATGATTCTGCTGGTTTAGGAAGGAGGCACCTGGACTTTCCTTCACAGCGCACGCTCTGGAGAGAAGGTCAGTTAGTGAACGCTGTGAAGAAGTCTGCTTACTTCCTCCCTCAACCACAGAAACCCCTCACCCTATTTTCACTACACATGCTCAGTCTGTGTAAACAAATTCCAGGAACTCGTTACCATAAGACAACCCGTTATATATTCATTAGATTTCATAGATGATTTGTGTGTAAACTGATGTTCCTTGCTAGTTCAGAGGAGCCCTCACAGTGGAGAACCCCCAGGGCGACCCCAGTGCTGCTAATAAAGAATTTCTGCTTAACAGTAAAAAAAAAAAACAACCCAAACTTTAGTGTTGAGGCAATTTCTTTGACCACCGAGCCCCGTTCTCCCCATACCTGGATCTCCTCCCGGCTCAGGTGGGTGGTGACGAGGCCGCCGTCGCATGGGTGCTGCCAGGTGCCCTCGAAGCTCTGCAGGCTCAGGTAGAACTCGGCCCCATCCGTCAGCCTGTGCCGGACCCAGCGCGGCTTCGGGGTCCCTGCGCACAGAGACGGAGCGGCGCTGCTGGGGGGTGCTGCTGGGGGTGCCGCTGCTCCCCCTGAACAGCTAAGGGCAGCCCCAGGCTCCTTCGGGGAAAGTTTTTGTAGCCCCTAAAGATTTTACCTTCTTGCCTCTTGGTGGCCATCAGAGCCGCAAGCTGCTCCTGGTAGGCCGCGGCGCAGGCGCTCACCACGCCGCGCAGCCCCACGTCGGGGTTGTGCAGCACCTGCAGGGTCTGCGTCTCCTTCCCCTCCTTGATCGCCTGGTTGATGGCGGCGGTGCCCAGGGCCACTGCGGGAGAAAAGGGAGCTGGCGTTGAGCCTCTTCTCACCTCCCCCCTGCAGCAGAACCCTCCCCTCCCAGGATGGGGGGAGCAGCACCCAGCACCCACACCAGGGAGAGCACTCACTCCTCCTGGCTGCCACTGTGTCCTGGTTGGCCCTGCGGACGCCTTCCTGGATCTCTTCCCACCAAAGCTCAGCTCCATCGTCCTCTGTGGCCTGCGAGATGTGGGGAGATGGGGTGTAGCGAGCTGGGGACCCCCCCTCTGCAACTCCCTGCCAGGAGGGGGCAGAGAGGGGGGATGAGTCTCTGGAGCCAAGGCCCCAGCACCAGGCCCCGAGGGAATGGCCTCAAGCTGCCCAGGGCAGGGTCAGGCTGGCTCTGAGGAAGGATTTCTGTGCAGAAGGGGCTGTTGGGCGTTGGAATGGGCTGCCCAGGGCAGGGGGGAGTCCCCGGGATCCCTGGGGGGGTTGAAGAGTCGGGCTGAGCCAGCGCTGAGGGATCTGGGGGAGTTGGGAAGGGTCAGGGGGAGGGTCATGGTTGGGCTGGAGGAGCTTCAGGGGCTTTTCAAACCCAGATGAGTCTGGGATTTTAAAGAGCTTCATCCATGCTGATCTTGCACCACATCACCCCACCAACACCTGCAGGGGGGGGAACGTCACCCAACCTGAGCCTTCAGGCTTCGCGCCCGGGCCAGGACGTC